GCAAAGTCGAATTATTCTGGATTCAGAAAAGTCTGTAAACTCAGTTACAGAAAAAGAGTGAGGTGCCATATCCCCGTCACTGGGAAGCTCTATGTTTCGGTCTATTGTGTGTGGAATGTTCAATTTTTTTTATAATGTACGCAACACTAAACACAAAATACCTTGTGCAGCAGAGCGAAATCTCAATGCTGCAGTACTGAACACGTGTGAGACGAGTCAAGACAAAATGGGACATGTAAACTGATTACAAAGCAAGTTCAAAACTTATGATTATGTCTGAATTAAAATGTAAACATAATTAACACATAGAAACAAAATCAGTGCCTCGGTAAAATAATATGCGATCAACCAACGCACAAGTTTGTACCAAACAATCTAGCTGGGTATTTTTAGCATGACCTATTTTCTCTTTGCAGTGGCGCGCTTACAGTACATTTCCGGCAGTGTACAAAGAATCATTGACTTGTGTGTCTGACCCTGTTTTGCTTCTCCCAAGAGTACTGTGAGGAACTACTTGTGGGAACGGTTTATTTTTTTGCTGAATTCACCACGTTACTAGCCAACTTGGTTGGCAAAGAAAATGTTACGGTTTTAAAAATAGATCATAGTGAATGTGTGAATTAAATTGCAAAGGAAGGCAATAAGATTTTATTAATTGTTCAACATATTTTAGAATTCTCTGTACATTTTGGCTTTGAAATTCATCTGAACAAAGAGTGCAATGTACGAGGACTGATGATTCGCACATACCTAGGGTAGGCCTAATTAATCTGGTCGCAGATATGCAGGGACGTAGGCCTAGCAATACTGAAAAATTCTTAATATCTAGGGCAAGTATTTTTTGGAGCATTATCAAACCATTTTGACAAAATTGCCAAGTTCAATTTCCAAACAAATTAATCATCAAATAGTCACCATAATAGAAACGTTGCATCTTTCGTGTTTGTTTACCCAACAGGTTCACATCTATAATGAATCTACTAAGGATCATTATTAGGTGTAACAGAATGGTAATCAGGATCGCTTGATGCTTCAACACCCCTCACAAAGTAAACATTAAAACATTAGTTACAGATTGAAAATCTAATAAGACCAATTTGGCACAGAAAATTTGATTGCTCTTGACTTTCTTCAACTTACTACAGTATATAGCAAACAGCTACCAGTGCAGTGACAAACAAATGGTAAAAGTCAATAGTTTTTCCATCAATTTAAATTATAAAATATGGATTGATATCAAATCATGTCCTTCCTGTCCCAAAATTTTGCATGTTATTGGACTTTTTTTAGACCAATAGAATCTCGTTTATTGAGTACATGGGTTTTGCATTGTGTCAGTACCGGTATGGGCTAAATAAGCGTACTAAACGTAGCAACATTCAATATTATACCTTAGAATATAATCTTGTATATTCGCATTACTTGACCTACTGCGCTTCACATAGACTGATTATCTAAACATTATGATAGCGACAGCCTTCATCATGTATTTTGCCAAGTTTGAAATTATAATTCACAACCACCAACACCAGCATGAAGAAAAACCGCAAAAATAACAACTCTCTTCTCATTTTTATTTGGAAACTAATACAGTAGAACCCCTTATTTACGTACGGCACGGGCCCAGAGCCATTCGTAAATTCGTAAAATCGGGGTTGACCCAAATTCCTATATATTTGCACTGATACTACTTACACTGGCATAAACTAGGCCTAGGCTAGGCCTACAGGCTTACGCATCTAAGTCTGAGGGGGCCTAGGCCTACAGTTGGCAGCTTCTAAGCATTCTGATCCCACTCTAGGCCCTGCACAAATTTATTTTTATCGGACATTTTTACCTTCTTAAATACCTAGATCGTGGATTTTATTCCAACACAACTTCCATAGATACTTGTTTATTATATATATATTGATCATTCAATAAAACAATCAAGCACTATGTTGAATTTTAAAGCTGAAAACGATGTTTGAAAGAGAAGTAAAATTTGTCGCATGCACATGTGCGAAGCCATAAAAAACGGTACACTGACTTTGAAGAGGCCCGTTAGAGGGCCTCCTTCACTTGATAATTACATAGTACTGTATAGTATGGTGTGTTGTTTTGTATGCATGGTAATAACAGGTACAATTCGAGCGGGTTTTTTTCTTTTAATCTTTCGCTTCAATTTTTATGACGTCATCACCTTTATATTACGTTCGTAAAATCGGGGTTCGTAAATGAGGGGTTCTACTGTACAGTAATTTCAATTTGCTTGGGCAATACCACAATTGTGTAAGGCTGGAAGAAGCTTTCTCCCAGGGCAGATCCAGAATTTAGATACTAAGATGGCCAGAAATTGGCTTTCCTGAATTCTGAACCTATCCAAACCCCCTCCCCCTTGAAACTGCAATTTGTATACTTCTATAGCTCTACATAGTATAGTGTTCATTGGCAAATTGATCTCTGACTCAGAATCTTAGAACTGTTATGGAGAACAATTACGGTTTGTTTCTATTTATAAATTCTTATTAGCTACACAGAGGTTAATATGACAGTGACACAGTTCATCTTTAAAAAGAATTGTAGAACAAGAAAAGCCATATTTTGTACGTGCAGTATCTGTAAAAAATATCCTGAAACGGATCAGCAAGTCTTTCTATGTTTTATCAATTATGCTACTTCATAGGCATTTGATAAATGTACCACAAAAATTGTATTGAAAATATTGGTATCGATGGAAAGGATATTAAATTTATTAAAAATTTGTACAAACATGAACATTGCAAAACAAAATGCAGCATAAGATGGGAAGTAAAAATACTTTAATTGACAATTGTTTGAAAACATATCTTAATAATAATTTCAATACCATATATTACATTGTTTAATGTTTCTTTATTTTCCATTGTGTACATTTCTGGGTTGTAGGCAAAAATGGCCCCCAAAAAATTTCCTTTGAGAGAATGGCCGGGAAAAATGTCTTCAGTATATGTCTTACAAGTAGGCAAAAAATGGCCCTCAAATTATAAAATTCTGTATTATAACTGATTTTAAAAAATCTTCAAATTATTTAAATGCTGCTAAATAACACAACTTGAATCAATAATTTAAAATAAATCATTATCTGCATTTTTTAAAAACTGAAATAATTTGGTTTTAAGAATCTAACATCAAATAAGTTATACTTAAACATCAAATAAGTTATACTTAAATAACTTAGTTGAGTAATTTCATGAAAACTGAATCAATTTGCAGAAATGTTTAACTTCAATCCGGGTATTGCTAAACTAACAAAACATGTAGGTCCCATATCTGTAGTTTTTTATTATATTACCAAATAAACCAACTAAAACTTTAATATATATAATGAAGGCGCTCTGTGCTTATTCCCTAAATAGATGATTATTCCCAAATGAACAAAAAACAAATATTTCTCAAAAACAACTTGACTATTAGACATGCATTTTTTAAAACAAAAGGCTTTTATTTATTGGCTTTTATATAATCATTGTACAGCATAATTTTGATTTTATTTTATTTTGTATTAACCAACAGCGATAACAACCGCCACTGACAGGTTAAAATAACAGAAAACAGGTAATTTATTACTTTTTGATTTATTGATTCAATTCTTGCTATTTTACAGCATTTGAATATTTTGAAGATTTCAAAAAAAAAAAAAAAAAAACCATTTTTATTACTGAATTTTATCATTGGAACCATTTTTACCTACCTGTCATTTGGGGCCATTTATACCGGGTTCATTTTTGCCATACACCATCTCCTAGTCTACAGCATTCAACCTTTACACTGAACAGATACAGTATTCTAAAATGCCAATGAAATAGCTGCTAGTTCTGTATTCACTACACTGACGTTACAGTCCTATTAGCAGAAACAAAAGCAGATTTGCAGTTGAACGAAGAAAAAAGGTGCTAAAAAGAATTCTGCAAATAAAAATAGTCTCAGTCTACAACACAACAAGGAGGTATAAAATAATAATATATTTTATACCACCTTGATTACGACAGATAGAAGTCAGCAAATAATTATAAGACAACAGTTTATCCACACACTGTAGATTTGGTGGCATGACCATTAACCTTCATCTTGACACATATAGCCACAATATTTGGTCCAAAGCATTGAAATTGCTAATAGGAAGCACTGAAATAGCATTGAAATAGCTGGTAGCATAAAATAGCTTTTAAAGCATTGAAATTGCTTTTGAAAGCATTGAAATAGCCATCATATAGCTAGCTTGAAGAGGGCATCCCAAGGTAATAAAGGCAACAATAGTATCTCACGTTGTCCTGTCTCCTTTACCTGTATTTTTATAAGTGAGAAGTATTTTAAATAAAAAAAATATTTAAAAAAAAAAACATATTTCTAGAAGCCATCAAGGTTACAAATTTTCAATTCATAATACACACAGAATACTTTAAAGAATAATATGGTATTGTGGTATTACTTAGTTATTCTAAGAAATGAAAAATAATGATAATATGGTAGCACATGATACCTGGGAAAAAAAACAAAAAAAAACACACACATTTCTGGAAACCACCCAATTGCATAATTAAGAGAAGCTATTATGTTTTGCATTTGGAGTACTAAATGTTTATCCCTAGCTAGGCTACACCCAGTCTATAACTTATAATACACAAAATAATAAAATAATAGTAATACAAAAATTCTTGGCATCCTAAACCTATTGTAGAGCAACATCAAGACAAACAACCCATTTTGCACCCCACCTTACAATGATATAGTCCATTGTTGGGTGGCTTTTGACAGGGGTGGCTTTTGACAGAGGTGGCTTTCTTCTTGCGATTTCTCAAAACAATTTATGTCATAGGTGAAAAACGTAAAAAAACAATAATAATAGGCCTAATAATAAATGTAATGGAGTACTGTATTCCATATCTGTATTAAGTCATTTTAAGCTACTTTTGACATTATTATTGTAGAATTTATTCTACAAAGTTGATATCATTGATTAAACGATCTACTAGGCCTACCCTTGCATCGCAGTAATACTGAACTAGGCCTAGCTTAGGCCTCATGTTTTTGTGGAAAGCTAGATAGTCGTTATGTACCCGACAGTCGGCTGCCTTTTATTTTCACCTGTTTTCAGTTTGCATTCAAAGGGTACATTGCTGCACAGCCAACTGTCGGGGATATAGTACCTTCATATGACTACTCATACATATACAACAGAAAAAAACGTCGCATGGACTAAGTGAAAAATGGAGATCTAAATGAAGAAACGATGTATTTCAGCAAGTATTAAAACATTTTAGTTTTATTTTAGGCCTTCTTCAAAATACCTATGCCTACAGCAGATGAATTTTTTGCCGTAAAACCAAAATAGTTTCATCCATGCCGACATTCCGGTCGGTTAGCGTGAGCCCTGACACATCGATCTTCGCATCGCGATGTAAAACAAAATGTCGGAAAACTTTTCTTTGACGCATGCGCATTTGCATAAATGTCTACACACACACATACACACTACACACAATAAAAAACATAGGAAATAGCAAGAGTGATTACAAGTTCCTATTGCATTACATGCATAGGAACTAAAAAGGTGCTAAAAAGAATTCTGCAAATAAAAATAGTATCTCAGTCTACAACACAACAAGGAGGTATAAAATAATAATATATTTTATACCACCTTGATTACAACAGATAGAAGTCAGCAAATAATTATAAGACAACAGTTTATCCACACACTGTAGATTTGGTGGTATGACCATTAACCTTCATCTTGACACATATAGCCACAATATTTGGTCCGAAGCACTGAAATTGCTAATAGGAAGCACTGCAATAGCATTGAAATAGCTGGTAGCATAAAATAGCTTTTAAGGCATTGAAATTGCTTTTGGAAGCATTGAAATAGCCATCATATAGCTAGCTTGAAGAGGGCATCCCAAGGTAATAAAGGCAACAATAGTATCTCACGTTGTCCCGTCTCCTTTACCTGTATTTTTATAAGTGAGAAGTATTTTAAATAAAAAAAATATTTAAAAAAAAAAACATATTTCTAGAAGCCATCAAGGTTACAAATTTTCAATTCATAATACACACAGAATACTTTAAAGAATAATATGGTATTGTGGTATTACTTAGTTATTCTAAGAAATGAAAAATAATGATAATATGGTAGCACATGATACCTGGGAAAAAAAACAAAAAAAAACACACACATTTCTGGAAACCACCCAATTGCATAATTAAGAGAAGCTATTATGTTTTGCATTTGGAGTACTAAATGTTTATCCCTAGCTAGGCTACACCCAGTCTATAACTTATAATACACAAAATAATAAATAATAGTTGTGATACAAACACTCTTGGCATCCTAAACCTATTGTAGAGCAACATCAATACAAAAAAAAACCCATTGTGCACACCACCTTACAATAGTATAGTCCATTGTTGGGTGGCTTTTGACAGGGGTGGCTTTTAACAGGGATGGCTTATTCCCTACATTCCTTGCTTCTAAAATGCAGTACACATATTGGAATTTAAAATACCTTACTACTGCACCTGTAATATTTGTGAATTCCAATATTTGCAATCATGTAATACTTCTTGAATTATTGAAGACGATTATACAAAATTACTTGTCAGTTTTTGTTTGTTAATTTTGAACATGAGTTTGAATATAAAGGCAGTTTAATTTATATACTTCATAAATATTATGATTAGATGCACTTATAAAATGACATAATTTAGTCTACAATAGTATCATCTTGAAAAGTAGGGCACTGGATGCTCACCTTGTGAAGCATTAGTAAGATTTTGACAAGCTGCGACAAATCTAATGGACAAGCCATCCTCAAGATGGTCAACTGCTAATGAAATTTTTAAGCCTGTTTCAATGGTCAATCATGCATTGGTCAATTTAAGACCATTGAGTTCTAAGGTTTATCCTTTTTAAATGTAACCCAATATCAAGTAGCAGGAGTGAAGCGCGAGCATCATTACATCCAAGTCCATTACTGGATGAAAGACAATTATAAATGCAATATGTATATAGTTTGAGTCAACTAATTTGTATAATAGGTGAATCACTGACGGGAATGCTTCTTATATTTTAATCCACATACTTTGTAAAATGAAAACAAATCATTGTTACATCTACAACTAGGCTGGCGATATCTATTAATAAACTTATGTGCCTAAAATTTAATAAATGTCTTTGTTCTCAGTATAACTCCATCTTTATTCCAGTGATATAGAGCATGTACTTTTCCATATGATACAGTATTTTTGGAAACATAATGGCCTTGTCATACCTGGACCATTTAACCAACATAAGCCGATGTATAAAAAATTTATACGTCTTTTTTACTACCTAGGCCTATATAGTATAAACTACGATTTTTCCGAATGCGCGACCTTACATCGTCATATCTACAGATTGTGATTTTTTTAAATTTCACTATTAAATCAATATATTGCTGGTGAAAGAATGGTCGTACTTGTATTAATAATAAAACTTGTAGTATAATACAATGTTTTACATAAGAAAATTGCCGAATAAATTTTGTTTTAGCGTTCGTTTTATCGTTATCTTTGGCATGGGAAATATCATTTTCGTAAAAGCTAGGACACTAACGATGAGATGTAAATTTGATTCTAAACGCTTAACAAAGACAATTAATAAATCTATCTCAACAGCATTAAATCACAAACAACAAATATATAATATCAATCCTATGTTTTTGTACTAATGCATGTTTACTCTAGGAAAGGTGCGGCCATCTCAGCAGTCTTTTTATAGGCTACGTGACATGATCATCGGCAATACGCTCCATACGCTGCACATAAGTTAAATTATCATCAGTAGGCATAAACTGTGAATGCCGGCAACAAGCTAAGTATTCGTTGGTATAAGTTATCTTTAAGTTATAGAAACGTTCTATAACACAAGATACAAATATGCTATGTATACATCTATCTCATTATGAATACGCTATACATATGCCGAAAATTGAAAAACATTGAAAGTCAGCACATGCCAGCGTTTTTAAAAAAAATTTTATACATAGGCATCACTGGCTAAATCATCAAGGTGTGGCAGGGCCATAACTTGTAAAATGTTCACTCTAATCCTAAGTTAGGAACGCCTTAGAGTGAGGTGGATTATTCTGCATAGAAAATTAACTTACAGTAGGTAGGCATATATCATTTTAAGCAGCATACTAAAATACACAGGTACAGTAAATGTATCAGTATTTATTTTTGTTGAAAAGAAGATTTAAAAGATTTACTAGCACATTCACAATTACAATATTTACAAAAACACAGTTAAAAACAGCAAATGTAACATGCAAGCTATATTTTTTTAAATAAAATAATAAACAGGATATCAACATAGCTACGTCCAATGTAACTTTGTTTCAATTCTCCTAGATTTTATAGGTAAATATTTTTTTAGACCCATATGCAAATTTCAGTATTAAGTATACTCACAAAGCTCATATTGAAATGACTATTGTTATAATGTGAGTCACAAACTAGTTTTAATAACTATTCATTCCATTAACAATCCTCATTTATTCAACGTTTATTATTATTATTTATTCATTATGTGTGGAAATGTAGGCCGCCTTTCCAATTCTAGGTTTTTTGCATGTAAATCCTATGAAAGCACAGTTTTTTTCATAACAAGCAAACAAAATTTCAACCTCTAAGTCTCATAATATGATTTGGTTAAAAAAGAAAAATTATTTTCCCTAGGGACACTGAGTAGCAACTTACTGTACCATCTAGGATAAAATGGAAGGGTCACCCTCTTTTTAATTATGGTTAAAAAAAATTGAATTTCTACCATGTAAAATATTTTATAAGTCATTTGATATGAATATGTCTTCATCATCATCTTTTAAAATATGTTTTCCCTGAATGCGAGGGTCATACTGTTGAAAGGCTGTACAGATAAGCTGTAAGAAGTGTATCCTTTGAGACCAGGTGCTATGATCAGCGGTAACTTCTAGGTGGTTGAGATATAATCTGGATATAATCTGAAGAGGTTCCATCACATGACTTAAGTGGACAAATGTAATAAAACATCGCTCAATTTGTATGAATAACAAAATACTTCATTATCAAGAGTCGAATCATATAAAATGTTTTTCTAGTGAGCTATTCCATCCTCTGCCTGGGCTTTATAAAAAAAAAATCTTTTGACAGCTACAAAAGGATCTGGGACAGCAGGTGATGTAAACAGAATAAATCAAAACTTGCAACTTCATATTCTGGGGGGCCAACCCACTATCAAAGATTCATAAATCATCAAACTATTATTAATAATGATAGTGAGAGTAACAGCTCATATTTACTTTGCACCATACTATCCTTATATCTGACCCTATATTCGTACAGTATAGGGTTTGTGCTTATAGACTACAAAAAAGCTGTATACTTTCTTTGATGACCTCTGCTATGGATTTATGTTTTGAAATGGGCTATCCATGATATTCTTACAGCAGATATGTTAAACTCAGATAAGAAAGTATAATACATACTCCAAGTATTGAAATACACGCCATCGTGTTGGGATTCAATATTTCGACATTAATTATGTCATCATCATTCCTGATGATGACATAATTAATGTCGAAATATTGAATCCCAACAAGATATGTTAAATATAATAAGGAATTGAGCTTTTTATATATTTACTGTATTTTTTTTTTTTTATTCTTAATGTTAATGTACCAATTTCAATTGTTTTTGTGTAGTCCACGTAAAATAAAAATAACGTTCTCTGGGCTTAAAACTCACCAATTGCACTGCAGTGGTGGTGTTTTGCCCTTTGCCAGCCAATGGGAATAATCCCTCCTTATCCATCTTCAAGTCTTTTGTTCCTGGATGATCCTAAAGTCAAACTACTGTATCTATGGCCTTTTCCTTCTGATTTAGTACAAAATTCCGTCACTTCTGCTTAACAGTTGTACCTCCCCATTAGCCACCAGCCAATATTTCTAGATCAGCCACTGCCTTTACTATAAAGGCCAGTA